AATCCTCAGCATTGATCTACTATTCCTCCTCGATATTTTTAGCAGATACCAAGAGTTTTATTAACTCAAACATATTTTCTAAAGTGAAATATTATTTCTAAGAAGCTAAGTCAGTTCGCAAGGAAAACCAACCTATACTGCTAGAGCATTTTAAACGAACGGACTTCAAGACTGACTGAGCTTAAAAGGAGTTTCAGTGTAGATCCATGCAATACCTTTATTTACCATTTAAGAAAACCATAGAGAGATGGAGAGACTGATCAAACGGGCACAGTTATCATCCAGCAAAATTCCCAGATGGCTACAGCAGCTCCTCAGAGCGCTCCATGCTGATGAGCTCATGTTGCATGTTGGACAGACAATACAAGGCAGAGAAGAGCTAAGGATAAAGCCACTGGAAACAGTAATGTTTAATGTCATTAGATCACAGACCTACAATAACAAATACTAATCGCAAAATATGGAACGAAACCCCATTTAGTGAATTTTACCATCCTAACTCCCCAATTAATTTGCTTTGTGACATTAGGCAAGTTACTTAACTAAAGTCTACTTCCTCATGATTTAAAAGAAGGTGCTAATACCTGCCTTAAAGCCTTGTTCTGAACAATATCTCTTCTGTGGTGTTCTTTTTTAAAATACGATGCTTTCATTGGTTTTTTTAGAGAGAGAGAGGAAGGGAGAGGAAGACAGAAAGATCGATGAGAAAGACAACCACTGGTTGCCTCCCACATGCCTGCTAGCAGGAGTTGAGCCCACAACCGGAAATCAAACCAGTAACCTCTGGTTTGGGACAATGCTCAACCAAGTGAGCCACACTGGCCAGGGATTCTGTAGTATTCTTGCCAAAATCCATAACCCAGTTTCATATCAAACACAAACTGAGAGACGTTCTACAAAATAATCAACCAATTCTCTTGAAAAGTGTCACAGTCATGAAAGACTTCAGAAGTGCCATAGATTGAAGGAGACATGACAACTAAATGCAATACGTACGGGATCCTGGATTTGATCCTGGGCCCGGAAGAGGCTAATGGAAAAACTGCTAGTATTGCACCAAGTTAATTTCCTGGCTTTGATCACTGGATTGTGATTATGTAAGAGGAACCTTGGTGAGGGGTATATAGGAATACTCTGTACAAATGTTGCAACTTTGTAAACCTAAAATTATTTTAAAATAATTTTACTTAAACAGAGCAATTTTTAAAAAGCCTTATTGTAAGAAAGAAATACAATATCAAAAAACCTAATACATTGTCTATTGTTTTTGCAGGCATAATTCCTTCATCTAATGGCTACACTTGGTGGCCAATAGCTGTAGGCACAGTATATTAATACAGTATGGGCCAAACCCAGGTTGGGACAGTTAATAGCAAAGTGTGTTGTTCAAGTGTGATAAAATGAGGCCGTTCTATATTTCAACTGAGTAATTATAAATATTCACGCAAAACTCCAGTAACTATCAATATTGCATTCTTTGCGCAATAAAATCCTAAGTCAGTGTTTGAGAAAGTACGGAGTCAGTGTTTGACTAACGATGACAGGCTTTTATTTACCTAATGCCAGCAGCATTTAAACATAACATGTCAGACCTCCATTCTGACTCTGGGACTACTCCCATCCTGTCAGACTTCAACAGTTTTCTGTCAGGCAACACCTGGCAAAATAAACCGCTTTCATATAAGTTGTAGGCATCGCAAAATGACTATTGCTTGATACTCTGTTATTTCTGTTTCCCCCCTCCTTTTTATTTTAAACTTGACTCTACATCTAGCCTTGAGGCGCAAAAGCCTGCCTCTGAGATAATTAAAGGTCCCCAATGGCAAGTTTATTATCCAAGATTTTGCTTTTTTAAGAAAACAAAACTACCAAGGAATCACAGTACTTTATCAGTCATGGTTTCTAACAAAGGAGCTATAGCTCCACCACTTTTGCTTCTCACCTCAGGGAGTAACTGTGCAGCCAAAACTATTAATAAGCAAATTAGCTGTTTCTTCGTTTTAGATAGGATCATCCATATGATAAATATACATTTCTTTCTATTATACTACTCTCTTGCAAAATAATTTTTGTTTTCTACAAAGGTTATGAGATATCATAAAAATGTCTAATGCATCTGGTTTAAGAATCCAATTCTTCCTTCACATATTTCTGCATCTGTTCACAAAATCTCTTTGACTTCAAAGGAAGCTTTTCAAGAGAAAAAGAAGATACACACAGGAAAAGTGGCCATAAATTTTTAGTAGTCCTTTTCTAAGGCCATTTTAATAACAGCACTGTGGGACAAGTATCTCTCTGAGACCTAAAATATCACAGATGATATTAATGACTATGCATTTATACGGAGATTTACACTTTAAAATCTTATTCTGGGTCTAAAAGTGATATATCTTCAATTTAGAACATATGAAAAATATGAAAAGCTTAAAGAAGAAAACTTAAATCACTTTTTTTTTGTTTTGTTCATCCTTATCCGAGGATATTTTTTCCATTGATTTTTAGAGAGTTGGAGTGAGGGAGAATAGGAAGGAGGGAGGGACACATCCATTGGTTGCCTCCTACTCTCACCTCGACCTGGGCCAGAGATCGAACCTGCAACCCAGGTATATGTCCTTGACCAGGAACTGAACTGCAGAAACTTCAGTTTACAGGCCAACATTCTAACCATTGAGCAACACCAGCCAGAGCTTAAATCATTTTTAATCCACTACTTAGGAAAACCTAGCAAAACAAAAACAAGAATGGTTGTTTCCTTCCAGTTTTTCTTTTTCTTCTGTGCATATATTTATATAAATATTTATTTACAAACATGATATTATAATTACACTGTTAATGCAATTTTGTATCTTTTTTCAATTGGTCTTTTTCAAAGTCCTTCAAACCATCATTCTTTTTTTTTTTTTTTTTTAAATTTTATTATTTATTACAAAGCGTATTACATATGTGTCCATTTTTTCCCCCCGCCCAAGACAGTCCCCTAGCCTCCCCCATCCCCCAGTGTCTTATGTCCATTGCAAACCATCATTCTTAATGACTGAAAATTATATGTAGATTTATAATTTTAAAAGACGCTCTCACATTTAATTCTTATTCTAATCAAAGCTAAATCAAAGGTTTGGAAACACTATTCTGTTCTGGGAATTCTACATCTTGAAACAATCTAGATTAACAGTTGATTAACTTCAAGATAATCGATTTGGTAAACGCCACTGAAACAATAGATGCTTAAGGAATTTTTTTCTTTAGCATTTATAATGATTTAGTCCCCTTAATTTCCCTGGGCAATTGTTAGTGGGCTGTAGCTTCTTTTTCTTTTTCTCTTTGAGTCTCTATCTCTCGTGACATCCTTAGCTCTTGTTTGGAATGAGAGGAAGTAGGGGGTCTAAAGCTTAGTTACTTTGACGCCATAGCTTTCAACAGGCTACGATTAGCTATAAATATAGTAATCAACCAATTCTGGTTCTACAGAATCAGGCCCTAGAGTTCCCAAGAGGGGAGTATTGGATTTATCTAATTTTTAATCAATCCTTCCCTAACACTGCTGCCTGAAATTTAAAGTAACATTTAAATAGCTGTTTGGTTGATGATGAGCTTTCTGATATAATATCCTTCATCCTCACAAGAATCTTATTAGGCTCCTATCCATGAAGAAAACTTTAGTGCTGAAAATTAACAGATTTATGGGGTGATTAGAAAAACAAGTTGAACTTAAATCTTGGTTTTCGTAATTAATCTCATTGCTGTACTTTGTTTTGTTTTTTTAAATATATTTTATTGATTTTCTACAGAGAGGAAGGGAGAGAGATAGAAAGCTAGAAACATTGATGAGAGAGAAACATCGATCAGCTGCCCCCTGCACATCTCCTACTGGGGACGTGCCCGCAACCCAGGCACATGCCCTTGACCAGAATCGAACCCGGGACCCTTCAGTCCACAGGCTGACGCTCTATCCACTGAGCCAAACCGGTTTCGGCTCATTGCTGTACTTTGGATTCATAATCATGAAGCCATAGATTCCCCAAGCTTGAAAGAACATAAATGTGGCAATCGGTCCAAGCCTCCCTCCACCCATGTTCCTAAAGAGAATAAACCCTGCGAGATTCCTGGTGACGTGACATGTCACCCCACTAGCAAGTGGCTGACACCCCCCTTGACCTCTGGTTTTCTAGCTTCCCGTGCAGTGCTCTTTCCAAACCCCGCTAACCCCGCACAGCCTCTCCCCTGCGCAGCAGCACAGCCAATGCGCCAGGAAATCGCCCCGGCACCCCAAAACCTGAAGTTTCTTCCGAGTTCCCACGAGAGTTCCCAAGAGATGTATGGCATGAGCCTACCAGTGAGATTAGACTGGGAAGACGTTCAGTAAATGTCTGAGTGAATGAAACACACACACACACACACACACACACACACATATTATTATTTTTTTTTTCTTTTGCCATGAGGGTAAAATTCCCAGTACTGACGGACAGGCTGAAGGCCGTGTCCTGCTCTCCACGACAGAGTAGTGAATGGCCACAGCAGTGCTGCCTGGCCCCGGACAGGACCACGCACTTGGGCAAATCTCCTTTGGGGTGAAGGAGAGGAAACACCGGGAAACGCACCGACATTCGCTCCAGCGCCGCGCAGCGCCGCGCCAACGGAAACCTCCCCATCATTAACCAGACTTTCCTAATTTCTCCTGGGCCCCAGGCTGGCGGTTAGGAAAGGACCGTAAGACCGCCAAGAGACCGGAAGGTGGGCCGTCCCAGTGCACGAGCGGCGGTACGCCCCTCCCACTAGGGGCACGTGACGTCACACGCATCCCTGCAACGTGACCACGCTCCAGGTAGAAGGGCAGTCTTAAGGGAGACGACTTCAGAAGAGAAGTGGCCGGGTATTCTCCAGAGGAAACGGGGGTGGAGGCAGGGGGAGAGAGAAGCAAAAGGAGGGAAGGAGGAAGGGGAGGCGAGAAGAACGTAGGAGTATGGAAAACGAGCGGGAGAAGGGCCAGCTTTGGTTACCTGGGGAGCAGGAGCAGCTTCGGGTGCTTTATGAAGTGCCCGGATGAAGCCCCAGCACCCACGCGTCTTCCGCATTGAGCGCAGCGCCATGTTGAGGAGGGCGGAGCTTTCTTGTCTTGAGTGACATCTGCTCGGAGAGCCAGTGGCTGTTCGCTGCGCTCCTGCTTGCTGCGCCTGCGCTCTTGCCTTCGGGGGCGGGTCGCTGGGCCCCTGCGGTGGACAGACCGGTCTTTGCAGAGCAGGTGGGGATGGGGACGGGGCGGAGCTGAGCTTCAGTGTTTCCCTTGGAGACCTCTTCTTTGCACTGGCTTCCTGGAGGGAGAGGCTCCGGAAGGAAGGCTAGGAAGTTGCTTTGGGGACCCTAGCCCGCCCCCAGAGGCAGCTTTAAAGAAGTTTCTGTGGGAATGGGGCCTCGCAGTCCTGTGAGCAGCGAGTCCTCTGTTGAGACCTGTGTAGCCTCATTTCACCCGGGCTGCAGAAACAGTACTGAAGGGACCAAGAAAGAGACGCATCTTTCTTTCGAGAAGTGTACGGCCTATGGGGAGCAGACATACACGATGCAGTGTTTGGGCTGTCACAGACGCCCACACCAAGATCGGGGAGGAGGGTTGGTCAGGGCGGGACTGAGACCCGTCCAAGGAGAAGGTGAGACCTGGTAGAAGCATTTTCCTGTTTTGAGTTCAATTCTGAGGAGAGTTAGCGCAGTGCTCCTGCTTCTGCTGATGCACCCCACCGCTCCCAGACATAGAAGACCGACATCAGTAAAAATAGAACGCAGAGATTTCGTCAGAATTCCTTTCTGTTTTTGTTGTATGTGTCCATTGGACAAATACTAAAAATGACCGCATTTCCAGAGGGAGAAGTAGGAGATAAATGGAATAAGGCTGCCCATACTCTTAAAGGAACTGGAATCTAACAGGTTAAACCAACATTTATAAATTAAAGCCATCCATTAAAATCTCCTAAGAGTGGTACAAAGCACTGGTGAAGTTCAAGCATAATTGGTGTAATATAAGCGGGGAAGGAATGGTAGGGATGACGAGGGGGAGGAGGGAGAATCGAAGAAAATTAAGTCTCGCTCTTCAACAAAACTGGCTTTGTCTCTGTCAAATTTGAGGTGCCTATCGTCCTCCCAAAATGCGAGGCCCGTTAGATAGGTCCGTCTGGATCTCAGAAGAGAGGTCTGAACTAGGAGACAGATGGTCACGGAAACCAAGGAAGTCTGAGAAACCAGGTAGCGTTTGTGGAATAAAAGTCAGAATAACCAAAAGATATTTTAAAAAACCCCTAATGTAGTAATACTGAAACCCAGGAAAGAGATATGGCCAGTGGAAGTGATGATTTTTAAAACGATATACACTATAGTATCCCTTGTATATATGCAGTTTTATAAAATGTCTAAATGTTTTGTACTCACATACCCAGCAAAGAATTAAAATACAGGGTGTTGTGTATTTTTTGTTTTAACAGATGTTATTAATTAGTTTCAGTGACCGTAGGAATTAGTAAGATTAGATTTATGACATCCTACGCCATCTGGATTGTAAAATAAAGCCTAAAAATAAGATGAGGGTTACCGCAGACAGCTGAGGAAGGGCCTGCCTACTCTATTTCCTCATGCAGCAATTTTCGTCTTTTATCTGCTAAGGCTCACATGACTGATATTTCCATGTGAGACATACTCCCATTGAAGAAGGTATATCAGAACACACGTGTAATCATTTCAGTACCTGTATTTTTTTTAGGTACATTATTTTCACACTTAGAAGTAATAAGTTGTGTTTCCCACCGTAGTGGTGACCTGATGACTTGAGTGTCCCTCCGCCAGCAAGGTTGCTCCTTGGACAGGACCATAATTTGTATTTTTTTAAATTTCTCCCAGCATGTAGTAGAGTGCCTTACATACAGTAGGCTTATCTTTTAAATTTAAATTTTATTTTGACCAAGTACATGATTATATTTCAGAGGTTGATAGGCTTGTAACATGCCAGAAGGGACAGCTGACAGCAGAAAAGACACTAGATCCATCAAAAGCAAGCTAGTTTTGTCTGCTTTTGTTGTTTTTTACAGCAGCATTCTGAAACCTTTTGGTGTTGGGGAGAGTATCACCAAAAAGCTCACCATCAAATAAGCTCACCATCTTGTTCTCTTCTAAGAAGTACAGTATCTTCAGCATATTTTAATAGGGATTTTAAATGCTAATCCTGAACCTTCAGGAAAAGATATGTTGTTGGGTGCATCTTTTAAAGAAAAAATATGTAATACACTTTTGAAATGTTTCCATACAATACGGTTAACATTTTTAAAGTTTATATAATGCAGAGTTAGTTTGGTTACATGGGAAGTTCACTTAAGAAATATCTTATTGTGCAAGAGTATTGTTTAAATGAAGCACCATTGTATTTATTGCAATATTTTACCATTGCTATCATTTGGTAAGCCAAAGAATTTTCGTCAAACGAGATACAAATGTTGTATTGGAAGCAGACTCACAATTAAAAACTCTTAATAGTCATACACATATGCACTGTATGGCTATATAATAGACTCATGCTTACAATTTTGAACACTTGTTTAAAATTTGATTTCTCATCAACACTTTTATTTTATAGTAAGTTCTGGTAATTTTGCCCTTTTCTTCACATTCCCTGCAAATCCTGTCCTGCTTGAAACAATAGATTAAAACCAGACTGGCAGTTGGGGAACACTTTCTATTGCAACCATGTGTGTCAGAAGAAAGGATTAGGTTTCCTTGTCCAAGAACATCAAGGGGAACCTCCACCTCTGCAGACACACCTCTGTTCCTCAGTAATGGAGAGTTTATATCTAGTTAGATTTAAATGGGATAAGGAAAGAGTTTAAATCCACTCCCAGCTCCAATAGTATAATCAGCCCTCAAGACTCAAAGTATCCAATTTTGTTTCTCTAATTTAATTCTAAGTGTCAGGTTGGTATTAGATGCTGATCAAGGTAATGGAGAGTTATCCTACACATTTATTCACTTAAAGAAGAATTTTGCAGAATGCAGAGACTAGATGGCATCTGTGTTCAAAACTTACTTAAGGCACAGTCCATTCCCCTCTGACCTTTAACTTATATTGAATATGTTTTTAAAATAGTGGACTAGATTCCACAATGAAAGCAAACCCTTCTTTTGATAATTTTGGGTATAACTATCATTCCCTAGACTTACTGTCTTATACTTGATTCATTATAAGGACTTAAAGTGAGGCAGAGTCTGTCCTTGAGTGAGATAACTTCCAAGAGTCATTAAACTACTGATGTACAAGAAACCATGATCATGATTTGGAGATTTGTTCTTTTTCACCTTTGTCTTAATTCTAATCCCACCCCTCATTTTATAGCTGACAAGGCTGGTCCAAAGATATCAGTATCTTAACAAAAAAATCACACAAGGAATTAGAGCAGGAATAGGAAGGACTTTAATTTCCAGACAAGTGTCCTGCTTTCTTTTTTTAAAAAATATATTTTTATTGATTTCACAGAGGAAGGAAGAGAGAGAGATAAAAAACATCAATGATGAACCTCCTGGTTCATGGGTCGGCGCTCAACCGCTGAGTCACACAAGCCATGCCAGATGAGCACCCTACTTTCAGTGACAGCTCTGTGAAGCTGAGTAGTTACAGCTAGAGCTGGTCCAGGGGAAAGGCTTAACTCCCATGGCAACGAAATGGCTAATTACTAAAGGGCTGATGCTCTCATCTCTCCACCCGCAACATTGAAAGACACTATTTCCCTGGTTGTGGAGGAAGTGCAAATTATAGCCCTTTCTCTGTCTGAGGATAATCATCAGAGACTGATTGTGTCTTTGGGAAAGCTACTTAGGGGTTTTAAGGGAGGCATTACAGCACTATGACTTTTTTTTTTTCCCCTGGAAGGTGTCAGCTAGCAAAATTAAGGGAGAAACTGGGTGATATGGATAGCAAACTAGAAATTTTCTCAGAATACCTTTTCCTTAAAATCAAGGACGAAGGCCATAGTTTTTTTCCAGATTTAACTTCTTACCTTAGGGAGAGACTCTGTCTTACTCTGCAATGATGGTCATTTTGACTGGGGTTGGGAGATGGTGGGGAAGGTGGGGAGGGTCAGAGCAGACCTGGGTGGATAACTTGCCCATGTTGATCTTCAGAGAACTGACTCCATTCCTTCTAGATTCCTTAGGGTGCAGAGCCACGAGGGGGATGGATTACATGGGACGTTCCAGGCCCTGGAATCCCTGTTCACATGGAATGTTTTCTCTCGATACTTTTTGTCAGGTTGTCAGAGTACAAGTCTTCCAAGAAGATGGAGAGTTGCTCCCTTAATAAATTGTGGATCTGGGATGGAAAGAATACTTTTGGAGAAAGGTAAGAGACTAATTTCAATATCCCCTAGGCCCACTGTTCACCCTCAGTGTTAAGACATGTGTTCCATGGAGGAAGTGGAGCTTAGAAATTAGCAAATGAATGTTTAGAAAGAGCATTTTACTGTGTGGTCTCCGCATGCCATAGCTTTCCAGATGGTGTGACCCTAAAGACAGGATCTGTGTGTTATCTTTACACTCATTCTATATTTAAATCGCCGCCCTTTGTTCACAGCCACTTCCCAACTGGGATGAACAGGCTTCCCACTTCAGAGGTTTTTTACAAAAAGAAATATAGCAAGGTGTCCCCAGAGCTTCCGGCAGTGTCTTTTAGCTCAGCTCTTTTCTGTTTCGTCTGTAATCAAGCTATGTTTGGTCCCTTCCCACACACTGTCTGTCAGGTGTAATGCTGGGATCCTAGCCATGACCTACTGCTTAGATCTTGATCTTGCTAAAAAATAAATAAATAAATCAGAAGATATCTTGATCTCTCTGAAAACAGGGAGGGTGTTAAGCTCACTGTCTCAGTCAAATCCTATCTCCACAAGTTAGATTCCCTTGGACTTTCTAAAACCCACTGGCTGTTGTAATCAGCTCTGTTTTTCTTTACTTTTTGTCTTCAATAAGTAGAACTGAGCATGAACTCAGAGAAAATTTGTTTGCTCGACCAGCAATTTTCAACTGGTTTGCTGCTAGAGGCACACTGGTGTGCCATAAGAATTTTTAAAACATGCAATACCTGACTAGTCAGGGGCACTGACCTCTCTTCCCTTAGATTGTCAAATAAAATAAAATAAAAAATCCATCTGCTGTAAATGAATCAAAATTGTACCTATTTTTTTTTTTTGGCCAGGCTGGCAAAAAAATATAATATGATTTTTGGTGTGCTGCAGAATTTACTAATAAGTTTATGTGTGCCATGAGATGAAAAAAGTTGAAAAATCACTGTGCTGGACCCATTACTGATCTCTGTGAATCATTTGACCTGTATGTACTTTTTGTGAAAAGAGTAAAAAAATAGGAGGGCTAGATGACATACATTGTAAATCTTGTGGTTCTAGGAACTATTTTCCATTTAGTTCCAAATTAGATTCATTTAGAGATGCAAAGATAGATATTACAGTCAGAATCCATATTGCAAAGCATGTCACCTGAACTCTTATCCATGTCAAGTGTGTGTGTGTGTGTGTGTGTGTGTGTGTGTGTGTGTTACATGTATTTGAGTCAGTTCTGTTCCCTGGTGACCCTATGAATGAGTGATGTCCACAATGTCCTGTAGACTCATGCCTGTGGCTTCTTTTATGGAGTCAGTCCACCTCATATTTAGTCTTCCTCTTTTCCTGCTGCTTTCTGTTGTCCCCACTATTACTGTCTTTCCCAGAGAACCCTGCTTTCTCATGATGTGCCCAAAGTAAGACAGCTTCAGTTTTGCCATGGCAGATACCGAGATACAAATACCGAGAATGGATCACAACATGTTCTCAAGACTGTGCACCACGCAGCTGCTCTCAACCAAGTAAAATTGCCCCTCTATGTCATCTTGTCATGGCAGGGTTAGGTGTATGAAAGACAGAGAATATGAAACTTCTCTCACCCAACTGTGAACATGAAGTGGCTTTCCACAGATCTCTTTTCAGAGGGTAAGTTGGAAGAGCATTTTGACCTATTTTCATTCTCTCTGGCTACTTTAGGTCACAGTTCCTTTGTTCCAACTGTGTTGCTTTCTGTTGTTTCTCAGAAACGCACTCATTATTGTGTAATTGGCAATCACAATGATTTGTTTGACAGCTGCTAATCCATGAGAGGGTTATCCAATAGGTTCTGGTGTCTTCAGGAGAGGAATATATCCACTGTCCCCCCCACAACTTGGCAGGTGTGGGAAATGAGGTGTGTGTTGGGGGGCGGGGGAGGCAACAGCCCTGCTTCTCTCTTGCCACCCTCTGATCTTCTGATCTTTTGATTTCTCCATTCACTGAACCTCAGGGCAAAGGAACTTGTTTATCAGAATTGTAAAGGTCAGCCCTTCCCCCTTGCCCCCCACCATTCCCCCACTGTTCCCCAGAAAACAGGATGCAAAAATGGTAGACAGTGGATCTGGAAGGCCAGATGGAAATATTTAGTATAGAACTAGAAATATAACTGTGAAAAAAGTGATAAAAATCTGAGTAGTCTTAGGATAACTTTCTAACCAGGCATTAAACTTGAAGGCAAGACCACATTTTCATCTCTGACCAAAAGAGTACTTGACATCAGAGGACAGCTCGATAAATATTGGCAGGTTGATTAAATGAACAGATGAACACATGTGAGGGGAAAGAGGGAGGTGTGCGGTGAGATATTTTAAAGATAGACAGTGCAGGGAATTGGGGGAAAAAATTTAAAGCCTAAAATAATCCCTGGAAACATTTTCTAAATCTCTGATATATGCTTGCTTTCTTGTGGTTTGCTCTTTCCACTAAAAAGCAGAATGCATAAAATATTCTGATTAGTCGAGGGTTATTACTTAGGTTCCAACTAATGTTTTATATATAAATCTAAATTACTGCTTTTCCTTCATTCTGCTTCTCTTTCTGTTTGGTCAAATCCCTGTGGGAGGGAGCAGCATTCCTGTGGTGGGTAAAATAATTTCTATGGAAATTATTCAAAACACAATTTTTGTAAACACTATGTGAAGATATGATTTATTTCTGGATTCAGCCCTTTCTCTTGCATCATCTCCCTGTTTATCATCGAGTTTTCTGTTTGCCAGCATCTCTCTTTAAGGATTTGTCCAGCCCTGACCGGATGGTTCAGTTGATTGGAGCAATATCCCATGCACCAAAGGGTTGCAGGTTCTATTCCCAGTCAGGGCACATACCTAGGTTGTGGGTTTGATCCCAGGTGGGGGCACGTATGAGAGGCACCTGATCAATGTTCCTCACATCTCTCTCTCTCTCTCTCTCTCTCTCTCTCTCTCTCTCTTTCTCTCTCTCTCTTCCACTCTCCAAAAATCAATAAATACATATCCTCACGTGAGGATTCAATCATTAAAAAATAAAAACATCCATACCAGTTTTGCATCTAAGAGGATCAGCTTCCATTAGGAGGGTTGAGACAATGGGAAGCAAGACAGAGGAGAAGAGACTGCGTTCCAGGAGGGAGCAGGTTACTGAAAAGAACACGACTCAATTCCCAATCCCAACTCTGCCATAACTAGCACGGTGACACTGGGAAGTTTTTTAACTTCTCAGCCTGCTTTTTATCTAAAAAAAAAAAAAAGGGAGGGGTTGGACCAACTGATTATCAAGGTTCCCGCCCTGAATTCTGTAAGTGTCTGCTCCTGCAGGTGTCCCATTTTTAACCCAAGGATCTTCCAGTACTTTGGACGTAACACCTACAAGGCTGTCAGGTGAAACATCCTCCCCTTGTGACAGATGGTCCTGCTGGGACCTCAGTGATTCTCTACTTGTAACACTGTCAATCTGTGGAAGACTCAGACTGTGTCTCACTAACCAAGTATTGGAGAAGTTGAACCTGAACTGACTGACTTGAAGAGAGCAGTTAGTGAGAAAGTCATTGGATAATAAGACAAAGGTAGATTAATGAGTTTTCTAGTATTATCATATGCTTTATAGTGGGTGTTTGGGAGCTAGTACCAGAGGAGAGAGCCTGGAGGCAGAGTAAGAACTGGAGGAGATGGGAGAACCATGTAAAGGTTGTTAGGCAAAGGTGCCAATACTTTTTTATTCATTCATACAATTCACTCATGTAAAATTTTTAATGCATGCTTACTGCATAAAACTAAAGACTAGAAGGTAATCTTGTGTCACCACAGGTACCACGTATACTTCTTTTTATATGTCACCATATGTCTCACCTTTTCTTGGCTCTAGTTGCCTAGTTCCCACTCTGAAACCTCAGAGACAAGTGGAATTAGAAAGCCAGCATTCTTCTCTCCCTCCCTCCTCCTTTCCTCTCTCCCTCCCTCCCTCCCTCCCTCCTCCTTCCCTTCCTTCCTTCCTTCCTCACTACCATTCTTCTTCCTCCCTTCCCACACCTACTATTAACCTGGAAAGCTAAGGTACTGAGGATCCAGAGGATAAAGACATGGATTTCACCATGAGAAGCTGAGTATAGTGAGAAAGATTTTTTGTAAAGTTGTTAAAATATAACAGGGTAGCTGTCATTCTAGAGAACAGACATGGTACTGTAAAGACCCCCACGTTTTAAAATATTGGCAATTAGATAACAGTATGAGTCCACAAGTTCACAGACAGAACAAGCATGTACATTGCAGGGCCTCTCTCCCAGTCACAGGAACAGCTCCCACACCAGCCCTGGCTACACTTATCAGTTATATTGTCACTGCTAGTTTCACCTCAGTAAGAACAAGGCCCACATGCCTAGGGCACAGAAGGTCACAGGAAATTGGACTGGGGTTTCTTCTCAAATAATAACATCTCTTTAGAACTTATTTTATCTCAGTTACCCTTGGCAACCAAGGAGGGAAGGAAAAGAAGGGGCTCTCTCGCTCTGATGGCTACTGTGTTAGGAAGATCCCACTCTAGTCCTGTTGCCACATTTTGTTGTTGTTGTTGTTAAAAAATAAGGTATCACCCTAGCAGGTTTGGCTCAGTAGATAGAGTGCCGGCCCATGGACCGAAGGGTACCGGGTTTGATTCCAGTCAAGGACATGTACCTTGGTTACAGGCTCAATCCTGGCCCTGGTTGGGGCATGTGCAGAAGGTAATCATCCGATATGTCTCTCTCACATCCATGTTTCTCTCTTTCTGTCTCTCCCCCTCCCTCCCACTATCTCCTAAAATCAATGGGAAAATATCCTCGGGTGAGGATTAACAACAACAAAAAAGTAAGGTATCGTTTCCTAGAACACTCAATTTTGCTCTCATAGAGTCTTAGACCTTTCCATTGTCTGACATTTGCTCTCATAGAGTCTTAGACCTTTCCACTGTCTGACATGAAGTGGTGGGGTGGGGTGGAGTAGGGAGATGTGATGTTACCAACACATAAACACAGACTCTCCAGGGCTTTCCTTTCTATTATCTACTCATCTAGCAAATACTGAGTGCCTGTCATGTGCCGGACACCATGCTAAGAGCTAAGTACACAAAGCTGAATAAGATCTCCACGCTCTTTGAGATCACAATTTAATGGGGGAGACTGCATTTAGCAAACAGAATTTCAGGGAAAACATCTTTGTATCAAGAAGATCTTTTAATTTCCTTCAATTCACACATTAGAGACAGTCCTGGCTCTACTACCTACTATTTGAATGACTTTGGACAGGGTCTGAGCCCCAGTTTCCACATCCAAAAATGGGGGCAAAGGATAATGAGCTCCTCGGATGCCCTTACAACTCTGAGATGAGTACTGAGCTGGAATTTTGAATTGGAAAGAGGAGCAAGATGCTCATAAGAGGGGGAACTGCATGAAGGAAGCCTGGATTTGTAGTTGAACAAGGTGTACAAAAAGGTGAAGTCAAGAGAATAAGGTATTAACACATCTCCCTGCTTCCATCCTTGTCCCTTTCAGTCTATTCTCTCAATCAGCAGCCAGAGAAACTCATTAAAATGCATGTCAAATCATAGTCATTCCTCTGGCTTTCCATGTCACTGGGAGAAAAAACAAGTCCTTCCCCAAACCTATAGGACCCAAATGATCTGCATTCTTCATCCCAGCCTCTCTTCCCCCAGCATTGCTCTGCTCAGGACACATTGGTCTCCTCACACACGACTCAACATTTAGCACCATCTAATATATTTTACTTATATTACTTATATCCCCGGTCGAACACCCCTCTCACAATCTGGGACCGCTGGCTCCTAACCATTCACCTGCCTGTCTGCCTAATTGCCCCTAATCCCCCTGCCTGCCTGCCTGATTGCCCCTAACCTCTCTGCCTGCCTGTCAGATCACCCCTAACTGCCTCTGCCTGCCTGCCTGATCTTGAAAGATCAGACTCACATTGGTCTTCAGACATTTTCTGTCAATAACACTGGCTTCTTTCGGTTGCTCTTTAGACATAGTCCCACCTCCCTGCTGTCACAGTCAGAGATGCAGGTGAATAAGAGTCCTGGCTGTCAGGCCACTGAGAGCTGTCTGACCAACGGCTGATTCTGTGGGGGTGGGACTTCCTCTTCCCTGCTGTAAGAGTCTCCGCAATGCAAGCATTCCATGCCCGGCCGTGGAAAGGTACCTCCCCCTCCCCAAACCGTTCCGTGCCCGCTGCACAGAGGCCCTCCGCATCCGGGGTGGAATGCTTGCCTTGTACCTGCAGCAACAAAGCAAGCATTCCTCCAGGTCGCTCACACTGCCCACTCTCAGTGGCTGCCCCTCTGGGACTGGGGGACTCTGGCAGGGCTGAGAGGACTGGGCACCTCCATCTTGTGGCTATGGGCGCTGCCATCTTTTGTGATGGAGTGACAGTTAATTGGCATATTACCTTTTTATTAGATACGAATCCTTAAGTTTAGCATGTGTGTGGCTAATAATACACTTGTTGAATGAATTTCCCCAGTTTACCAATGAAAA